GCGCAAGCGGTCAAGGACGTCGCGGAGGTGTCTGAGGTGCTCCTCAAGGGTACGACTGTAGACCAGGATATCGTCGAGGTAGACGAGAACGTACTTCTCCAAGATGTCCCTGAAGATGTCGTTCATCGCCCTCTGAAAGGTAGCGGGTGCATTGGTGAGGCCGAATGGCATCACCGTGAACTCGTAGTGGCTGAATCGCGATCGAAACACGGTCTTCGGCTGGTCGGCTGCGGCGACGCGGATCTGATGGTAACCGCTACGAAGATCAATCTTCGTAAAGAAGCGGTTGCCTACTAGGCGGTCGAACAGCTCATCGGAACGAGGCATGGGGTAGTTGTTCTTAACCGTGTAGCGGTTGAGACCGCGATATTTGATGCAGAGACGGAGAGTTTCATCCGCTCTGCGAGCAAAGAGGACGGGTGCACCCCACGGGGAGTTGCTGGGTTTAATGAAACCCAGTCTCAGGAGCTCCTCAAGCTGACGCTTGAGTTCGGTGGCCTCGGGGATCGAGAGTCTCTAGGGTGCCCGGTGGTGAACACGATAGTCAGGCACAAGCTGAATGGAGTGCTCGACGTCAGGCATCGGTGGGATGCCGGCGTACGAGAACGACGATGGGAAAACGTCGTGGCACTCTCGGATGAGGTCACGAACTGCGGGCTCCAGGTCAGCCGTATATCGTGCGAGTTCCTCAGCGTCAGCGTCCGCGTGCGACGGCGGGGTGGACTCGACGGACGGCGGAGGGACGGAAGTAGAGATAGGAGCCATGGAGATAGGAGGAGGATTTGGCTCCAGAGGGATGAGCTCGGCGTCGGGACAGGGTGGATCATAGTGCAAGTGATCCGTCACGTTCACCATAAAGAAGGTGACGTCGTCCTGTTGGATGAAGTGGGCGAACTGCCGAGGCGAGGTGACAGTGATAGAGGGAGGTGGTGTGGGCACGGAAGGCTCCGGGGGAGGAGGATCGGGGCATGGTGTCGCGGTGGTACCTATGAAAGGTACGCGATACGTCTGAGACACTTCGTTTTGAGAACGAGAGTGTTCGTCGCCCAATCGGCCTCGGTGGTGCGGAACCGACGAGACCACGGGGTGCCGAGAATGAAGTCGTACCCCGTCTTCATCACATCGAAATGTGCAGAGGAGCGGTGGCGACGAGACGCCGGGGAACGATCAATCGGCTCGAGAGTGAGGAAGAAAGGGAGGTCGGTGACCGTCTGATCAAAGAAGCGCTGGGTCTTCTCATCCCCTAAGGTAACGGAGATGGGAGTCGGAGACCCTGTCGTGGGTAAGCGAGTTTCTTTCACCACGCGTGGGTGAATGAAGTCGCCCTGAGAACCGGAATCCCACAGCGCGGAGTACACCCTCGTGGAGGTCCCGAGTCGTACTGGGATGATAGGGAGGCTGCGATCAGGGTCAGAGAGGATGGCGAGAAGGCGACGCAGTCCAGCGACATGGAGGGTGAGTCGCTCCTGACGAGCCTGGAGCATGCTCAAGTCCAAAAGAGAGGACACAACGTCCTCGCGAGTAGCGAGCTGCTCGCTGCAACGGGCTGAGCGAATGGCTCGACGCGTCGGTAGTCGCGGCGGGGAAGGAGGGGAGACGGTGGTCTGCGGAGGCGCAGACGGTACTACGACAGAGGGCTGAGTACACTCTGTCGAGTCCTGCGATACCTCAACTCCAGTAG